AACCCAGTCCCCAAGCTAGTGTAAAGGAGGAACTTGCTCATCACTGCTGAGGCATTTTGATGAATTGCATGATTTCTCTACCCAGGGGTACAAGGCATTTGTCTTGACTCCCAGCAGCCCTACACAGTTAAGCAGAATGGAAGGAAAGTATGTGCTGATTGTGCTGGTACCCTTAAAGTGAGCCTGTTGGTTTTTTTTACCTTGATTGAGCACCGAAAGTGTCTGTCAAATGTGATTTTTGGAACATTTAAGGATCCTCTTGTAAAACACAACTATGTGAAAAGTCTGACATTTGTTTTAACAACAACACACCAATGCAGCTGTTGATTATACGTTGATGCATGCCTTTACTACAGGAGACAAGCTTTCATTCAGTTTTGACTTCAGACAGCAAGTTTGGGAGGGGTGCCAGGTAAAGTGTTGGTGCTATGAGTTGTAAACAGATGGAGAACAAAGCAGAACAAAGGCATTATTACTAAAACAAAATTAGTTGTCTTCCTGCTGTTAGACATACTAGAAGTCTGGTGACACAGTGCAGTGCAAAAAAATAAATAAGACTAGAATCACACCTTGCATCTAACATCAATCTGCTGTTGTAGTATGCCTGCCGATGGTAAAAAAAAAAAAGGGTAAAGTAGTCCACTAACTCTTTTCTTTCATGGCTAACTTGACTGTGAGGCACTTGTCAGTCAGTGCCTAGGGAATAAATATCAAATAGGGCAGCACCAAAGAACAACTTTTATAAACTGTTTTTCCTTCATGCTTTGATTGCCTGCCTCTGGACATTTTTCCTGCAAAAGAAAGGAAGAACTGTAGAGAAAAGATGGAAGACCAAGCCACCTCAATTACTAAATATGTCCCTTTGATGGACTGCAAATAAACGTAGATGAACAAACTTCCTAAAATTTGCTCCACTGATGATTCACCCAATTTATGAAAAAAAATCCCTGTTTATCCTCCACACGTTTTTCCATTTTTTAACCTGGATAAAATGTAGAAAGATGTCTGCATAGCATCTAACAATTTTTTTCACCATTTAGCAGCATCCACACCAACAGATGTTTGAACCAGGCACAGAGGATGAAACTGACAACCAAGAAAATGAATAATACAAATTTTAATAAAGACCCAAAAACTATGAAAGAGTGAAGAAATAATAATAATAATCATAAACAGTGTTTTGATTGGCAGCAGCACCTGAGGAAAATATAAACACTGAAGGACTAGCAGACTTGTACCAGATATAGAGGCTAACAAATCTTTAAAGAGATTTTTTTCTGGAAAACATGTTTTGGAAGTATGTCGCCACACCAAAGCAAAGCATAATTTTTTTCTGTGTTTTTTTTAATGTTTCTCTCCATTTTGTGGTTATTCTTCAGAATGTTTGTTATAAAGAAGCAGACCCAGAAGTCAGTGCTTCCACATGCTCAGAGACATCAACAACCCCAAGCAAAAAAAAAACAGATACCCTTGTTGTACAGGATGACCTCACTGCTTGCTCTGGCAGTCTCGCTAAAGAGTGGAATGGCAGTTGGCAGGGCTTACCCATGATGTTAGAGAAAGTCAGACCCTATAACACAGTGAAACTGAATCAGAGAGGGAAACAGAATAAGAGTGCCACAAGCATCATGTGGTGCTCCGCTAAGTGAAGCCAAGGAGCATAGGAATTCTTATTCTTCGGCTCTATCTATTAACCATAATGGGCTGCGGATCTTTTTCACATAGCTGTTCACTATGCAAACGGTTTATAAATCACCTTTTTAGTGTATCTCTGCCTGCAGCTGCATTATTGGTCAGTGAATCAGCATTATCAACTCTGTCCAATTAGCAGAGGAGTAGTACAGCAGTAAACTAAAGCAGAACCAGTAAGTATAAGAGTGATTTTCTTGGGTGTTCAGAGGTTTGTAAATTGCAGGATTGGCTCTGCAGAATTACAAATCTTTTGGCAGATAAAACAGTAACTTTATACTTATTTAAACTGTGCTGTAAGCTGTTTTCTGGGAGTTCCACTTTAAATTAACATTACACTCAGGAGTTAAATTTTAAGAATGCATTCAAGTACCTTAACTATTAACAAAAATGTATTATATCTGTGTATCACTCGGCTGGTTATACTCAAGTCATCTCTGAATTGGTGCTGACACTGTCCTTCCTTCTGCAGGGTGGCTACTTTTGTTCCCCATGGTCCCTGTGGGTGTTGTAAAGTAGCCACCACTCCAAGATCATTCCTGTGATGGACTACAATCTCATGTTTAGTTTACAAATTTGTATTGCTCTTGTATTGCATCACGGGAGCAAGCTTGGAGCTATGGCTACTTTACAACACCACAGGGACTATGGGGAACAAAAGTAGCCACCCTCCAGAAGGGAGGAAAATGTCAGCACCAATTCAGAGATGATTTGAGGATCTACAACCCAGTGATACACAAATAAGGTACAGTATTTGTTAATAGTTAAGGTACTTGAATGCATTTTTTAAGGTTCAACTGCTGAGTTTAGTGTCAATGTTTTAATATATAGGAAAAAGTTCTGAAAATTTTGAAAAAAAAAACAGTTTTCCCTACATTATGTTGTAAAACATGTATTATTACCCAATTTTTTAGTCAAATATAAAATATGGGGTCACGTCGGGTGAATCGACACCAAACATGTCAGGCTTTAAAATTGCGTGTGCCCCCCAAATCGCAAAAAACTATCATACCTCCTGTGATGGACTTCAATCTCATGTTTAGTTTATATATGTGATTTGTATTGAAGTTATAGAATTTTACAGGAGTGAGCTTGGAGCTGTGGCTACTTTACAACACACACAAGGACCATGGGGAACAAAAGTAGCCACCCTCCAGAAGGAAGGACAGTATCAGCATCAATTCAGAGATGATATGAGGATCTACAGCTGAGTGATACACAAATAAGATACATATTTATTAATAGCTAAGGTACTTGGATGCATTTTTAAGATTTAACTCCTCAGTTTAGTGTCACTTTAAAGCAAACCTACTCATTAAAGGAGATAATTGATCAATATACAAAACATAAACAAAAATGTGTATACCCTTATGGTTAAGAGTGCTTCCTTGTTTTTTTATCACTGTGATATACTCCTGCACACTGACATATAAAATTTGCAAACTAGATTCCAACAGCTAAGGGTAAGTCTTGAATCTGTTAACAGGAGTGGGTTCTGTTCTGTGTTTAATGAAATGCTTGTTAGAAACCATACAAGCAGGATGTCACCTGAGTCAGGCTCTACTTCCTGCCACAGGCCCTTGTTTAATGGACATTATTTTTCCT